GAAGAGGACAGCAGAGGATGAGATGGTTAGATAGCATCACTGAAGCAATGTCCATGAAACTGAGCTACCTCAGGGAGGCAGTGAAGGATAGGAAGGCCTGGCACGATATGGTTCATGGGGTCACAAAGAGTCGGACACGACTTAACGACTGAACAACAACAACAACAGGTGTTACCAAAATCAAATAAAATAAACAATAATATAATTAAGCACCTACTTATAAACTCGGCAAGAGATACATTGTAGTTTCTCCTCCTCTGTTGTAACTGTCCTCTTCCAACTTCCTTTCTTCTCTATTTTTTTTTTTTTTTTGGATGCAGTGTGAGAGGATAAGCAAGTAGGTTTCAGTTAATGCAAGAAGTAGAAAGTGAGTGCACCACAGTGTGAGGCAAAGTGTATAATCTTACCCCTCACCCAACACTCAAATCATGGATCTGTCATCAATTATTGCTACTTTTGAGCATTAAAATAGTGTTCCTAGTCATATTTGATTTCCATACAGTGGCTAGCATAAAATATTTTGCCACAATGCCTGTGGCAGCAGCAAAGCTAATCTTAGAGTTGCTAACGAGAGGCAAAAGGAAACAGGGTGCATGTGTGTCCCCACTTAAACCTAACCATGACACTAATTCCCCATGAAGTTATCCTTATCTATGAATGAAATAGATTTAATCAAATCTTAAGGGTACTGATATAGCGTTTTCCCATTTAAGCCATCAATTAACTTTCCCATCAAGCTTTACTTGATGAGAAAGTTAATCTGGCACTGTTGGCAGTGAATCTTTCATTTGATAATTTATGGCAATTTTGACTGAAAAATATATTGTGGAATTAAAAGGCTTATTTTCTTGGAAAAAAATGAAAAAATAAATTAAATCATTTGATGGAACATGTAAGATTATGAAATCTGTTACACTGTGGCAAAATCAGGGAACCAGTTGTAGGTGAGATCAGAGTAGTGTTTATTGCCAATTACAAGAAGGTGTGGGCACATCCCTTTCCCCTCTGGTCCCCAGTCAGCCTTATCTCACACCATTCTTCTTTTGAAATAGCTGAAAGAAGGGAAGGGAAGGGAAGGAATTCTGAAATGTATGGGGCCCCTTGTGATCTATATCTCTCTACAACTCCACTCTGTTGCTTTTTTCTTAGCTTGGATTACAGCAGAACCCAAGGAATGAAGGAGAAGGAACACAGGAAAGAGCCTAGAGATGATAGACATAGTCCTATAGTCAGAAGCTCCCCATTTTTGCTGCACCGCCATATTTGATGGCTCTCTTTCCCACCATCTGGGGAAGGAGAGGAGCCAAATAAGATTAGAATGGCACCATTTGACTCATGACTGATACAAGGCAGGATATGGACTAGCAATAACAACATAAAATTTCAGGCTGGTATAGTTTTCTGATGAGTCACAGATGGGTGGATAGCACCTTTATTCACCAGTGGGAAAAGACCCTTAAAGGGGATTAATTCCTAAAATTGTCAAATGGAAACAAAATTTCTGTTCAGGTTTTTTTTTTTTTTTACTTGGATCAGTGTGCATATTCAGAGACATCCTACCTACACACACTAATCAAAAATGTTGTCTGTAGCATATATCAGGAATCCCATGGACACAGAAATGGGTGCCTCTTGGCATGTTTCATTAAAAACAACTTATTTCTTAAATATACAGCTGCATTTTGAAACATGTCCCATCAAAAGATTTAATTTATTGTTTTAATTTTTTTTCTAAAAAATAAGTCTTTTAATTCAACAATATTTTTTTCAGTCAGAGTTGTCATAAATTATCAAATGAAAGGTTCACTGCCAACAGTGCCAAATTAACTTTCTCATCAAGTAAAGCTTATTTTATTCAAGGGTTCTTGCAATTCTCTTTTGCGTTGTTGACTCCCAACTTTTTTTCTTCAAAAAGCTTTTCTTTGGAGCTTTTTTTTTCTTTCAGTCTAATTTTTTTTTGCCATATCACTTTTCATGTCTTTAAAGACATGTTTATACCGTGGTTGATTCTTTTCTCCGTATAAGTCCACCACTTGTTTTTGTTTTCTTTTTAGATTCTGGTTCTTCCCCCCCCCCAACTAATATACCATTCCTGATTGGTCTTCCATTTCATATTCCATCTAATATATTTGAGGAACCCTAACTAGTCCTTGCGAACAATCCCACCATTCATTGCTCACTTTGACCATTTGATACTCTACTTGTGCTGGTGCTCTTCTTCCTTTAACAAGAGAATTTATTTTGATGCTTCCAAATGATCAAGGTGGAAAAGATACAAATGATTTACTTGGCTTTCACAAAAAGAAGGCTGTCAAAGGTTCTTATTTCACAGCACTCTCAAAACAAAAATTGCCAGTTGTTTGTTGATAAATTGCTCCTGGGTTGGTTACAGTGACATGAAGAGTTGGCCATGATGTCTGAACACTCTGGGAGTAATAATCCCAACCTATCTGGATGGCAGGTTGGGGAATGCTGGTTTCACTGATTTGTGGTTTGTTATGTCAGTTGTGGTTAACACTTCATGGTGGTGTTTGTATTAAATGACAGTAGTTTTTTAGCAGAGCTGTTCTCAATTTCCAAAATGAGCATTTTCAGTACTGGGCACAGTCACCTTACCTAAATAGTTAAGGAACAAGTTGAGCACACAATCACATTCTGTTTCTTAGAGAATAAAAATCTGTATCTATACACAGCCCAAATTATATCAGCAATGGAGGCTATAAAAATACTAACCTCTATTTAATATTCCCCCAAAAGATGTGTGGCTCATTAATCTCTTTCATTTTTCATGGATTGGTGTGATTTTTTTTAATCCAAGAAGAGTAACCTTCTGCTTTCCTTCCTCTGTACAGGCTGGCATGGCCTTGACATATGACCCTACAGCTGCTATACAGAATGGGTAAGTAGCATACACTTTACTATTTTTAAACAGTGCCATGATCTTTTCCAAAACAGTTTTAAGTTGTTAACACAATTTCAAAAGCAAGTCCATCACAGCGATTCTATTTGAAACAACTTAAAAGTATATTGTTAAGCAGGGAGAATATTTTTTCCCTCATTTATTTCTAGACTCTGTTAGTTATAACATCAAGTTGATTACAAATTTCCCACTGCCCCAGTGTCACTTCTCTTTTTATTTGAATAATAGCAGATTTGCTTCAGTTTTTCTATTCTCTGAAGGTAAACTACTGGCAGTGGTCAAGTCTTGCAGGCAGGCAGGCAGGCAGGCAGGCTATCAATAGGAGGTGGACATGTTTCAAAGAATCTTCAAGACTCAGGCAAGAATTACTTTTTATTTATGTATTTATTATGTATGAATAGCATTTATATCTCACTGTGGAATACATGGGGGTCTCCTCATTTTATCCCTCCAACAACCACTCTTACAGACTGGCCCAATGTTACTTTCTGAAATCCATAGTTGGGTCTTAAATATGGGTCTTCCTGCTCCAAGATCAACAACTCAGCCATTACACTAGTCTTCCTCTTGAGTTAATAACTCCACCAGATTTTTCCTGAATAATGTGAATACCAAAAGGTTGCCTTATTTTTGTTTGTTTGTTTGTTTTAACTTCAGACAGATGCCACGCCTGGCAATATTTCAGAATCAGAAATGGGGACATGGTTATTTCAGCATGGCTCACATAGCACATTACACAAAATTATTTTGCCTCTCCTCCCCTTGGTACATCTTTTGTTTTTCAAGTACTAAGGAGGTAGTCTTTGTGTAGGTCCAATCAACCAAGACATTCAAATAATTATGTTGTAATGTTTACTTCATAATTATGTACACCAGGGATAGAGGACTTTTTAGAACACAATCCTGGAGATTCACATTCCAATTGTGATAAGGCTAAAGTTGAAGTGGGTAGAATAAAATCCCCAACATTTCTAAAATAAGCAAAGGTATCAGTTGCCTCCACCTTTCCCTTGCAAGCCTTCAAAAGTGAGCAAGGCAATTTGTTGAAAAAGCAGCTTCTTTTCCTGCCCCATTCAGAAGTGAATATGACAGCATTCAGTACAGCTAATTCATAGGTAGGAATGTATAAGATTGCACTCTAGTTTCAGAAAATTAAGCAAAAATTTTGCTTCAAAAATTATGTAGCAGCAAGTTCCTCTAACCCCTTTCTTCTGATGAGTACAAAATAATCCATGAAAGTTTTTTTCCTATAGAATGTTTAGATAGACTGCTGTTTGCACAATGCAATTGTGGCTGTACTTCTTTAGTTATAAATCTAAGTAGACACATATTTATCTGAAGGGGTGGAATTCCTTGGAATTCCTCCCCATTAATTAGGGCTCCTGGGAACCTCTCTTCTCAATGAGATCACGCTCTTCCATTCCTAAGTATGCTAGATGGGTTTTTCTGGGGGAATGTTTCTCAGTTGCCCCGTCTGATGATGGAATTAGCAGAAATGGCAAAATTGACCTTTTTGATCAGAGACAAGATAACAAGTACTGTTATTAAAAATTGGAAACCTTTTATGGATTTTTTGCTGAAAATGGAAAAAATTATTTGGTGATTTATGGATTTTTTTAATTAAAAAGGGTTGAATAATGGGAAGAAGGGAAATATGATGTAATTTTAAAGAGGGAGGTGTGAAGATTTATTTGCCTGTAACTGCTGTAAATGTGATTGGGAGTCACTTCTTTACATACTTTTCTTGTTTCTATTTGCTTTTTCTTATATTTTTCTCACTTTTTCTCTTTCTTTTCTTTAATTTTACTTTATGTTTAACTTTTATATCTGAGAAAAATCTTTAATAAAAATTATTATAAAAAAGTGGGAAGAAAAAGAAAAATACAAATGAATGATCAGAAGCTTTAGAAATGTCATGGAGATGATAGTTTTCTGGTATAATATAGTTAGCTGTAAATAACTGAATGAATTCTGTCTCTTTTACAGACAAAAATTACTATTAAACTCTAAACTAAGAATGAATATCAAGAACTGTGGACAATACAGTCTAAATCACTAAATAAAATATAGGCTATAATAAATTCAATCCATAATAATAAAAATCTTGATAATCTGCAAAACTAAAATATAAACTTGATACATCGAAATGAAAATTTTGGATGTGGTACCAATCCTTGTATTAAATTGTAGTCTAGGATTGGTTTCCAGTTTGAACTGAATTCTGCGCCAGTATTGCTAGTTAAGTTATCCTAGACATAGAGACATATTCCCACAACTTAACATATTCCACTGAGAGAATCAAACAATGTTTCCAGTAAAAAGCATATAATATCCTTGTAGTAGTCAGCATATAGACATTAAAGGAACAAGTGGTCTGATAAAGTTTAATAAGAATATGGCAGGCTGAAATGGGATTTCAGCTTTTAAGATTATTTTCATTCTAGTATAGATCATTCTCTAGAACTATTGAGCTTTATAGCATTGCCAATATTTGAAAATACGAAAAAAAAAAAAACTTTCCAACCTGCTCATTGCATTTTCAGAATGTTTTAGAAAATGTATTGTTAATTTTAGCAATCAAAGCTGGAGCAATGTACAAGTGATAAAACTTTTATATCAATTTTCTGTAAGTATAATATTTGGAGTAAATTTAATGTTCTTTCATTGAAATGTCTATTGTTATATCTCTTATCACTGCATTCAAATTCTGCATCCTTTGCAATTTTTGCCTTGTTTGGATTTTAAATCATGCTTCAACAATTTGTAGATAAGGCCCAGAAAATGTTCTGAATTTTGTACTTTACCATTTTCAAATTCAGTCAGGTTTTTCAATATTCCCCTTTGTGGCTGCAATTCTTTTAGTGTACTATAGTTTAGTTTAGTTTAGTTTAGTTTAGTTTAGTTTAGTTTAGTTTAG